CCAGGACCAACTCAGGTTACTGGGGAGTAGCCTGGGGGCTGAAGAGCAAGATCATGTCATGTTGTTATGTTGATGGGGATTGATGTACCATAATGTCATTTTCTAAAAATACAGGATTGTAAAGCTCGATGGTGGTGTTACTTTTTCCTCCTGAAATGCTGTTAGTGGGATAAAGTTGGAACTTCACTTTGCAATTCACTAGAATTTCTTTTCATCAATAAACTATGAAGGGTTTGTATCTGCTGCACATGTGAACTTGCAATTCTTGTCAGCAATTTTACATCGTGGTGTGCACAAGGAGTGGATCAGTTATGTCTTGACATACTTGATGTTCCATTGCCCAGTGGAAGAAAACTGTCATCCCTTTTCTTCAGAAAATGGCACTTCTGGCCCTTCAGTGGAATGTCTTTAATTTTCAGGCACAACAATGGCTTCACTGTAATGCTCTCGAGTTTGAAACTTTATTTCTCTTGCCCTGTGTGATGTCCTGAAATTCCATATCCTGAGTTCTGTTTTCTATATAAAGTAAACAAGGAAAAAAGCAGCGCCAAAAATCCCTCTGTTTGAAATTAAAGCCCCTGTAAAATAACACTGAACGCTCCTGTTTGTTGTGGCTGGGTCACAGCTGCACTGGTGCTGCACTGGTGCTGCACTGGTGCTGCTCAGGGCCTGGAGAGCCACTGTGCCATGGTTTGGGAATGGGGGAGCATCCATGGCCCAAGTGAGCAAGCTGAGAAGTGACAGGTGGTGAGTGAAATTCAGCTGATGTGTTCAGGATGTTGAGAAGATGTGCTTCACGGAACAAAGTAATTGTGTTTTCACTGCTCAAATCTGCTTAACTATAAAAGTTGGTTGATTAATGGGTTGAGTTTTTTTACTGGATAAATGAAGATTATTTTTAAAGTAACACAAGTGAGAGCCAGCCAGGAATCTTGCACGTGATACTCCAATGAGCACGCACCTGCACACTTGCCGAGTGACTGTGCCTGTCACTCACTGCCATTTCCTGAGGCTTCAGTTCCTCTTCAATAATTAATTTCACATTTGTGCTTGAAGAGTAAAACTTTGAAACCTTTAATAAACTTCCATGTAGATCTCTTTGCCTCCCAATCCAGGTCAGAGTTTGTCCTGAAGCCTCTGCGAGAGTGAAAAGTACAAAAGGGATGCAGGCTCTGTGAGCACAGAAACAAGGCTGCTTTTCCTTGGAGTAAACCTGAACTTTGGCTCTTTCCTCCTGTGATCTGTCATTAGAAAATGGCCTTTCCCAGAGAGCAAAACAAAAGAAGTTAAGAAAACAAATGAATTAAGAAGAATTAATTGAAGCTGTGTATTATAAGTTGACATTACACATCTGGCATTTCTGTTTATGTTTCTGCATTGGTACATTTCATTCTGATTTAATAAGTTCCTAATTTTGTGGGGTTTTTTTCAAGATTCTGAAGTGCCTATGAAGAACAGCCCGTAGTAAAGTATTGTTCCCAGTTCAGCTGTACTTCATTTTTTTAATCAAATCTTTTTCTTTAGTGGATAAACTCACAAGATTAGAAAAGCCTCTTGAACTCCCTTATGTTTAGTTTGGCAAATGTCCCACACACAATTACCCACAGAGAGCTACTTTTAAAAGACCTTTATTAAGGCTGTACAAAGTCAAGCACTCAGGAGTTAGGAAATGGCAGAACCAGGTTTGTGCACTGAGTTTGGGGAGTACATTGCAGTGTCTGATCATTTCAGTGATTAAAAAGTGAGCTGATGCTGCTCAGAAATTGTCCAAATCTGCCCAGCTTTGTATGCCTGGACTTGGAGAACCCTAATTTCTCTTAACTTTCATATAAATAGGTTTTTAAAACGTGAGCTTCCAACGTGGGACCGTGGTGTTGGGTGTAACCCACGTGTGTGTCAGGGAATTCTTTGTGTTCCGTGTGTGGATCCCCGTTCTTGACCTGAGCTGCTGGCGTGCTGGGGAGGAACTCAGAGCTGAAGCAGCAATTTCTGTTTCCACATTTCACTGGGAGGCCACACACAAGTGTGATTGGAGCCAGGATTCTCTGCCTCAGTGCTGAGCCCAAAGGAGCATTTCTGTGGGGGCTGGAGGCTCTGCTGCCCAATCTCCCTGCTGCTCTGTTCTGCCTGAGCTGTCAAATCTCTCTCCATTCCCTCCCTCAGTGCTTTGGTCCAGGCCAAGTCATCCTTGTTCCTTCACTGCTCCTTGGCACAGAAAGTCCTGTTCAGCTGAGCATCTTCAAATGCTGTTCTTCCCTGCTGCCTCTTTTCCATCTGGGTCTCTTTCTTCCCATCACCCTCCCAGGCTTGCTCTTCCCTACCTGCCCGTCCCAGAAGAGGCCCAGGGAGCCCTGGCGGCCCCAGGCTGCCTGGCAGGGCTCTCTCCCCCTTGGCATGGAGATCTGGCTGCTCCTGGATGCCTTTCCCCATCCCACACTCACCTCCTGATTCCTCTTTTTTTCCTCATCACTCTTTGTGGAGTTTGGAGCAACAAGTCTTGTCACCCATGTCCTTTCTGTCTCCAGCTTCCTCCTGCTGTTCCAGTGCAGTGCATTTATTTATTCCATGTGGAGTGTTTCTCAAACAAAGCAGTAGCACAGTGCTGTTAATGTATCCAAAAGTGCTTCAGATTTTTTTTATTTCATTTTATCTGGGAAATCTAGAACGCATAAATGCATTCCAAGGTATTTTAAACAGGGAGGCATGAAGGTGGTTAATTGGAAAAATAAGTTACTGTTAATTGAGCTGTGTGTCAGACCCAGGACTGTTTGTCTGGCAGACTTGGCTCACACTTTAAACTTCTGCACCTGCTAAAGAAGCAGAAAATTGGAAAGGCAGCTTGTCTGAGGAGATTGTGATATTAAAGAAGGTACTGAAGGCTCAGTCTCAGTGCAGGAAGCCAGAAAATTGTTTGAGACTTTGGAAATTAGTTTATTTTTGCTTTTTGGAGTGGTTAAAAAAAGATTAATCTTTGAAAAAAGTATTCTAAGAGAAGTGAATGTGGAAGAGTTTACTAAGACCCACGTGTGTTTCCATCAACTTCCAGCACACATTGGCTTGGGTTTCCTTCACAGGGACAGTAAAAAGGTATTTATTTGTTTTGTAGTAGAAAGCAACCCAGTAGTCAGGATTAAAGCTCCTGGTCTATGTCCTAGGCATGTTCTTCTGATGCAGTGTTAGACATGAAAGATGAAATTATTTGTGTTTGTGTTGTTTATGCCAGATAAAGATAAATGAATGTCAGAACTGAGGTTGGGATCCTGATTGCAGTGGAGCTCAGCAGACAGCCATGTGAGCTGCTAATAGATGTAATTGGTGCTTCAAAAGGGCATAGCTGAGCAAATTTCATATCAGAACTGAAAGCACAGAGGAAATTAGATGAAAAACTGAAGTAGAATTGACAGTTTTCTAACTGAAAGGTATTAAATGGCCAAAAAAACAATAATTTTGCAATTGAGAAGGGGGACAACTTTGGCTAACTGCCCATCCTGCTTCAGTGATGAAATGAGAGGAAAAATTAGATGGAAAGTAATATAAAACAAATAAGAAAAAGGGAAGCAGACAGCAATCCATTCAAAATGGGAGTTGGGAAATGTAGAAAATAAGGAAAGCACAACCCAAAGGAAAAGAAAAATGTGGGCTGGAGTGCTTGGAGAGGGTGATGAGGACTAAGTTCAGGGAAAATTGCAATAGGGTAAGAACTGTTAATAAAAATAGGAGATAAAACCTAGGGGTGATGTAATAAAACTGGAAAGGTGATATCGTTCCTTAGCAATGCTCAGGATTAAAAATTAAGAGTTTTTAATTCAGTAATTTTGATCAGTGTTGGCAAGGGAGGAGCCTGGGGCAGTGTCTGAGCTGCTGCTGGGGGTGGTCAGTGGGTCAGGACAGTGGGACCCCCTGGAAAGGGATGGAAGAGGAGATGGATGTTCCTGACAGAGCTTGGTGTAAGTCCTTTCATCGTGTCTGTTGGGTTTCAGTTCTCTTTGGGATCAGAGGGAGCTGGGTCTGTCAGGGCCCTGCAGAGCTCCGTGTTCCCTGACAATCACACGCTGCTGCACTTCAAAGAGAACCACAACGAAATGGGGATGCCCAAAGAAGGGGTCTGGGGGACCTGGCAGGTTCAGTGGTTCCAGAGCACTGAGGAACACAGGGACAAAATCACTACTGATAAAACATAACAAAAATATCCATAGCCAGGACCAGAATGAATAACAGCTCCATCTACGTTCCTAGTGCAGTCCCAGAGTAGAAGCCTAATGAATACGAATGTGTTCTTGTTTTTAATTACTGTTAGCTGTAAGTGATTATCCTTCTGTATGTCTCAGCTGGGAGAGCTGGGAATTTTGGATGCAATTTGGATATTTACATTCTACAAGAGAAGCTGAGTAATTGGAATGGATGCAAAAAAAAAAAAAAAAATTTCAGAAATTGCTGGTGGAGTGTGAAAATGCCTTAGAGAGGGTGAGAGAAAACTCAGTTGGCTGAGTTTTTCTACCAGAATTGAGACTGTCTTGATTACAGTGCACTAGTCCCTTCACAGGCAGAAAATACTGCTCACTACAGCTCTCTGATCTTAAAAAGCAACACAAGAATCACCAACTGGCAGTCAAAGCCAGGCAAATTCAAATTGGGAAAAGGCACAAATTCTTAAGAGAGAATAACTGTAATTTAGGAATGTGTCTTCAAAAACTGTGAAGAGAACAATAAAAGTTATGATATTTATGCAAATAGCTCTTTCATGGGTTTTTTTCCTCTCAGAGGTGTACTTAGAGGGGGGAAGAGGAGGCTCCTGATGAGGTTTCACAGGGAAGTTCAGCCAGCAGAGCAGTGGGGCACTGCTGGGGCCAGTGGTGCCTGAGCTGCTGCAGGGCAGAGCTTTCCCCAGGGCTTGTTGCTAACATTGCCTAAGTGTGTGATGGTGTTTCACATCATGGTAATCCCATCCCCACCTGGAAAGGATCTGTGCCCTTGTAAGAACTCTTACACCATGCAGGACCTGGACACTTGTTGAGTTTAATTCATTTCCATGGTGCGTAAATGAAAGAAAGTATCTGTACACAAACCTGATTCATGGGGGTAAATGTAGGGCAGGAATTCCCTTACATTGCCTTGTCCCTCCTCTACCCATGTTCCAAAGGCAGCACAAGGCTGTTCCCTGTTCCTGCCATGGGCATCTGTGTCCTGCAGAATGGGTACCTGTGCTGATGGGAGCCACTGGAGCCTTTCCTGGGCTGTGGTGAGCACAGTGATGGGAAACTCCTGAAGGAAAAGTTCAGCCAGTGCGTGGTTTACAGGAGGTGCAGCTGAGCTGCCCAGGACTTGCCCCAGTTCACAGCATCCTAATGGAAACATCCCCAAGGAGACACCACCTTCTCTGAGCCATGGATCTCCATGCAGCAGCAGGGAACAAAGCACAACCAACAAGACTGGAAATAAGATTTGCCTGCTGAAGTCTCCAGGGATTAGGGAGAGAACCCAAGGCAAGGCAGCCAAGCCTGGCCCTTTCGTGTATCACCCTTAGGTAGAGCTGTTTATGTGCATGACTAATATTGGATCATGCCTGGAACATGTGAACATGCTGACAACATTGATGTCACAACTGTAATGCATTTAATAAGCATCTCATTTGAATTATTAATGTACAGATCCCCCCAACGTATTTTTGTGTTATAAACCCCATAATTTATCTAAGTACAAGCTGCAAGTTCGTAAATACAGCATTAAGAAGGTGGCTATTGCATAGCTGCTTTAACAAAATATCTTTTGTGGGTAAGATATATAGGCTTATTTGGAGAGGATTTAGCTGCTGGAGAAGGGCTTCTCGAGGAAGTTATATGATGCTTAGCTGCAGCAGACAGGGAATATAATTTCATAGTTTGTCCTGCTTGTCAGGAGGAATCAGTTTGACCTGACTGTGCTGTCTGATCTGAGCATCTCTTCAGCTCATTGTTCACCAGAGGCAGATTTATTAAACATCTGTACAGGAATGAGGCTGGAAGTGACACTTAGAGAGGAGAGCTGGATTAACAACTGCTGTGCCAGAAACTGAAAAAAAGGCAGTGAAAATACATGGCTGGTGAGGGGTCTTTCCCTTCCCAAGGTGCATGGTGATGGTGCCTGTGCTGGGCACGGCAGCAGTGAGACGGGGACACTGCTGATGTCTCACAGCCAGGCCAGCACTGCACTGGAGAGCTGGGGTAACACAGCAGGGATGCAGTGCTGCAGCCAGGGAATGCTGAGGCTTGGAGCTGTTGTGCACAGAAGTGTTTTCCATTGACTGTAATCTATGCCCAGGGTCAGGTGGAAAAGATGAGCCCTCTGCGAGGGCTGTTCTGGGCATCTCGAAGTGCAAATATTGTTTGTGGGTCCCTGTGTGTGACATACACAGGCAAAGTGCAGAAAATATCTGTAAACTGCAAGAGGCATGTGAACCGTGCCCTTCTCAAGAACACTTGACTGTTTATTGCTGACTGACTCTGCAGATTAAATTTGCATGAACAGCAAAAAGGAGTGTGATGGGAGGGAACTTAACCTCAAAGAAACTCAGCAGCCAACACTTTGGATGTTTGAATTACATCTGAATCAAGCTCTTGATTAAATCTTAGCAATGTCAAAAGCTCAAAGCAGCAATTTTAATTGATGTCACTTTTTTCCCCCTTCATGTTGCTAAATTATCTGTTGCAATGTGCAGTGCATCCGTGTCAGTACATTAAATTTGCACGCAAAGAGGGGAGATTAGGCAATAAAGCCACAGGACAAACAGTGTGGAGTCAGGCATATCTCCTTGGCTTCATTCACTATTGGGTGTTTTTAAAAAGTGTTTCCAAATCTGAGTAAAACTGATTCCAGATGTGCTCATTTGAAGGATATAAAAATCACGCTAGCACCAAGATTTATCTGAATTCTGCACTGTACCTGAAGAGATAACTAGTCCCATCTTAAAAACAGAAGTGCTATAAACAATAAAAAGGCCACAGGCAAAGGTTTTAGTGCTTTGATCCCATTAGCATCCTTTCTTCCCACGTATTTCAGACTAATGTAGTTGGAGAACTCCTCTGAGGCTGCAGCACACTGGATCAGAGGGGCCTGGTAGGACGTGGGTCGCTTGTCGGGGCTGTCGGGGCTGGAGCCGTCCGTGGGCCGCTCCCCGATGTAGAGGAGGCTGCGCTCCTGCGTGTCCCGCTCCGTTTTGAACAGTTCATACTCGGTGTGGGGCAGCTTGATGCCCAGAGCCAAACATCCGTTCGTGGGTGTTATATCCTGCTCCACCCCGGCGCTCCAGGAGCCCGCTAAGCCACAGCTGCCCGGTTCCGAGGAGTTGAGCATCACCACGGTCAGCTGGTCCAGCGGTGTCACCCGAGCCTGGGTGACTTTAAAAGCCAGCTCGGTGCCGCCCCGCACCTTGGAGGAGGGGATGCCCTGCGTGTAGTGCCCGGAGGCGTAGATGGTGAACGTGGGCTGCCTGCAGAGCGGGTCGGAGTAGTGATAGTAATGCCCTTCCCAGGTCTGGTTGTTGCCGTGGAATGTGAAGTACCTGGTGAGGAAGAGCACGGCCGGCCGGACCTCGCAGTGGGTGCTGACCCAGCTGCCGCTGAGCTGCATGGGCAGCGCGGCTCTGGCGGGCAGGATCGGGGGATGGTGCTCATCGGCCCTGGAGATAATCCCACACGCCGGGCAAGGATGCACGTGGTGCTGCAGGAGACAGAAAATAACAGCTCTGCTAACTGGGGAAAAAAAAAATAATCAAAAAAAAATTCCAAAAAACCCTTCCAGAATATTTCAAAAGCTGCGACTCCTCTCGTTCGCAGCAGGGTGCGGAACTGCGGGGAGCTTGGCAGAGGCTGCCGAGCAGATTAAGGGAGATAAAGCGCTGTCCTGCTCTTTGCTATTCTGGTAGCTGAAGGACACCGGGCTGTGCCCGTGCTGGGGCTGCTGAGGACAGCCCGAGGAGGAGCCCAGGGCAAGGGCAGAGCCGCCGGCAGGACGGGGAGCGCTCCCTCGGGACATCCAGGGTGTTCCCCATCAGTTTTCCGTGGTGAGGATGAGGATGCCGGGCGGTGCCAGAACAGAACGACGCCGCGGTTTTTGGGAATGAAGGAGGCTGTGACACCTGGCCGCGGGGAGCTCCTGGGGCTGCAGCATCTCCAGGACACACCAAGGTGTTCTGCCTCCCCCACTCCCCGTTCCTGCTCGTGTTCCCACATCCAGGGGAGGACCGGGATGAGCCGGGAGGGGAAGGAGGGAGGGAGGGGGACGTGGAGTTTTCCCAGCAGCCAGAACGGGAGAAGAAAAGGACCCTCTGCAAAGGAGGCTCTGACCTTCGCTTCCCCGCCGGTGCAGAGCTCTGAGTCAAACCAGCCCTGCCCCTGATCCGGTGCCAGCAGGGGTTTTGTGTAGCCTGGAAATTTTTCTTGTACTTCATATATCACAACTGATTTATTTTTAAATAAGCAGGGTTGGAACATTATATAATTTTCTAGAACACGAGCTAATCTTTACTGAACTGTCATAGGCAAGAAGGTTAAATAACTCAGTAGTTAACTGTAGGGTGGGCAATTTACATGCAAGTTGATTGGAGTCTACTGTAATTTAGTCATTTTCAGCTTGCTTTACTGCTACTGTCACAGTAATGAGTGCTGACAGTACACAGTATATTATGGCTAAATAATCCCAGAAGTTGGCAAATATATATGCTCTCCTTAGGCAGGAAATTCTTTGATAATGAAAGGTAATTTGGGGAGAATGGGTTTCTTTAAAACAGATATAAATTTAAGGGAAAAAGAGTGATATTTTTATAAAGAGAGTTAAAAAATAATTCCTGACATAGCTGTCTAACTTACTAGCACAGGCAAATGGATGTCAGTTCACAGAAAATAAAATTTTTCAAAAAAAATAAAAAAAAAAGAAAAATCCTGTGTCAAATAAAATTATCACTATGGACATGGAGCCAAAACCCTTACTTGCTTAAACCAGTCGTGTGAAGTTATTTCTAATGTATGGCAGCTTCTAATTATCGCCAAGTGGTGACATCATGTGCGGGTCCATTGGAGAGCTGTTGGCTGATTAATTACAGGGCTGCATTCAGAGAGTGAATTTCAGTATCTTTAGGTTTGGTTTTAAATTAACTTTTTAGAAGTGTTTATGTTTACCATCTGGTTTTGCTCAGATATATGGTTTTGGCCCAAGATAACACAAGTTTAACCAATTTGAGAATGTTACTTTTGAGAGGGAGAGGGGTGTTGCTCTGTGCATTTCAAAGTTCAGTTGGTGTAGTTCAAGGTGTGGGGAAATGTTGCCCCAAAATAATGTATTTTCATTTATTTCCCTTCTATCTGGGAAAGTTCAGAGAGGTTTTTTCACCTCATCTCACTGCTCCACCATTTCTGATTTGATCAGTTTCGATTCAAATGGAAAGCTGCTTTCCTGGGAACAAACTAAGCTGCTATGAAACAGAAAATAAAATAGAATAAAAGGCAACCAAGTCTGCTGCACAGTTTTATGTACATCAAAATGGAAGTCTGATTTTTGTGTAATAACATTATTGTACTGGGGACAAGTTCCTGTGCTACTGGCATTACACCAAGGGCTGAAGAGTTAACTGCAGATCCCTTGTTCCCCTCAGCCTGGAGCACACCCCAAGGAGCAAGGAGAGGGCAGGGCAGATGAAGGCAGGGCAGATGAAGGCAAGGCAGATGAAGGACGGGCAGATGAAGGAAAGGCAGAGCAGATGAAGGACGGGCAGATGAAGGAAGGGCAGAGCAGATGAAGGACGGGCAGATGAAGGAAGGGCAGAGCAGACGGGCTCTAACAATGGACAGCCTGAAGCCTTCACTGACTTTGGTGCGGGAAACAAGGAAACTGCGTTTCCTAGAAAAAGATGGCCAAACAAAAGCTGTCCCATGCAGGCTTGTTTCCCATGCTGGTTTTGCTGAGCGTTCACCCACCCTGGTCCTGCAGTCTCAGGAAGGCACAGGATGAACATTCCCCGGAGCACCCGGGATCCCAGCCCTGCAGCCCCGCACCACCTCACCCGCGCGTCCTTAGGGCTGAGGGGGCCAAGTGCTGCAAGGCGCTACTTGGACAGTCAGGGAATTGCTGGCAAAGCCCTGATGCAGTGAGGGGACCGTGCAAAAGCCTCATCCTTACCAGGGCGTTCTGCATGGGGCGCTGGTAGCCAGTGGGGCGGTAGTGCAGCCTCTCCCCCCAGTCCGTGTGGATGTCCCCCAGGTACAGCTCCTCCACCAGCCGGCTCCCGCTCTGCTGCGGCTGCTGCAGGGGCTGGAAGTGCCTCTCCACACGCACCAGGCTCAGCTCGTGCATGGCGAAGCCCAGGGCCGCGGTGCAGTCGCGCTCCGTCCTGGCGCTCAGCACCTCGTACAGGGCTCCGGGCGCCCAGGAGCGCCCCGGGGGCAGGAACCCGCGGCAGCCCTCGCCAGAGGTCTGGTTGATCCACGAGGCCACCTCCCGCATGGCCTTCTGGCTGTGGAACACGATGCCCACTTTGTGGAGGTGGTAGTCGGCCTCGGTGGCCCCGCGGGTGATCCAGGAGGCCTGGCGCAGCCGGAGCTTGCCCTTGATGACCAGCGAGTAGGAGGGGTCGCGGCAGGACGGGTCCCAGTAGTAGAACTGGAGAGCCTTGAAGAGCCGGTTGGTGTAGAACAGGTAGGATCGGGTCAGGAACTCGGGGCCCGGCCGCACCTCACACCTGTGGGGAAGGCAGTGCTGAGCCAGAACGGGGAGAAATCGCTCCCAGGACAGCCGGGTGCGGGAGGAGAGGGGAGGGCAGAGGTGGGAGCAGCTTCCTGGGCAAGAGCCTCCCACACATGGTGACCGCCCTTGGGTGATTTCATAATCTGGGCATCTGCTACCCAACAGTGAGAGTGATGGAGAGAGGATCTTACACTTCACACACACCCACAGGGAGGAGTGCGGAGGGCACCAGGAACCAGGGCTGATCTGCCCGTTCGAGCTGCATCCCGATGGGAAAGCAGCAGGAGGCTCTAGGGATAGCTGGGAGTCCCAGCCCTCCTCCAGATGGGAATGAGGGCTTGGGGACGGGGAGAAGGAAACCCTCTTCTTGTTGCCTGACAGTTTGCTGTACCGGGGGTGGGCAGGGGCTGCGCTGAGGGGCTGGAGCCTCCTGGGGTCCATTCTGAGGTCCTCCGGGGGTCTGGGGATGCATTCCCAGGGGATGAGGGTGCCTTCCCAGGAAAACGAGATAGCTTACCCGGGGTATTAAGGGCGAGTTCCCGGGGATCTGGGGCGCGTTGAGGTGGATGTACCTCCCCATGGTACGGGATGTCTTCCCCGTGCTTTTAGGGCCGCATTGTCATGGGAGAGGGGCGCATTCCCAGGGCCTGGGGGTACCTTACCAGGGGTTTGGGGTGCCTTGCCCGGTGTTTGGGGTGCCTTGGCCGGGGTTTGGGGTGCCTTGTCCGGGGTTTGGGGTGCCTTACCCGGGGTTTGGGGTGCCTTGGCCGGGGTTTGGGGTGCCTTGCCCGGGGTTTGGGGTGCCTTGCCCGGGGTTTGGGGTGCCTTACCCGGGGTTTGGGGTGCCTTGCCCGGGGTTTGGGGTGCCTT